GATAGTATATTAGGCAACATTTAGTTTGGGCTTCTTGGATCTAGTCACTGTGGGCTTAGAGCTTAGACTCTCTGAGTCATCCTTTGGTCCTTTTCTTAAAATAGGCCCAGTTTCATTGGGCAGTTTGGGTGTTCGACCCAATCATTGGACAGCTGTGGCCCATGGCTTCGCAGACTCACCGCCGCTTGAAATAACTTCTTTGCACTCTCTCATTCTCTTCATTGTCTTCCACATCAAACAAACTTTTTTTTTTTTCTTGACAAGAGTAATGGTTAAAAAATTAATATGAGTTACTTGTTAATAACTGGGATTCCCAGAATGGTAAACATTCCACCCCTCAAATGAGGCGCACAGCTATTAAACTGCAAGTTGGTGGAGTTCACGACGGTGACAGAGTTCAAAACCCTAATTTCCGCTTCACCCAAACCTTAAAGTTTGGAGGCGAACCATTGGGCTTCACATACTCATTCCCCAACATTAAACAAACCTAATAAACCCTCAATTGGATCAATAAGCAAGTCTCAAGTCATAGAAAAAATATTAATAGAAAAAAAAAAAGAAAAAGAAAAATAATGTGCAATTTACATGTATAATTTATTCATTTTATAACTATTAATAAAAAAATAAGTTTGATTATTAAAATAATTTTTTTTATCAATATGTATAAAATATCCCGTCTATTTTGTAAAATTACAAACTCAAAAAAGAAAAAAAAATCCTAAAAAATCTGAGAAAAGGTGAGTGAGAAGTGACAATATAATGAGTGAAGATGACAAGAATGAGCATCGCAATTCACAACTGCATGGAATAGTACGCACTGCTCACCACATGCTGTACTCCTTTAAAGTTCATGAAAAATTGAAAATCCCCTTCTCACCTCCAATTAGTGTGCACAAAAGCTGTGAAATTGTCAGGAATGATGCAGACGCTTCATATCTTGGGACCCCCCCAGAATAGCTTCAGCATAATATCATCTACATGCAAACTTTATCTCTTTAATCTTCTTGTACGTTATCATTGCCCACACACAAACAAATATATTGAAAATAATTCATCCACGACGTTTTGTTAACAACATTCATAAAAACATCAAGTGATATATAGTAAGTTTTATTGTCTCTTTTTATTGCACATGACATATAAATTGATATGAATCTAATTATTTAATATCTTATAATTATTGTTAACAAATGTTATTAATAAGTAATAAATATTTAACATTAAATAACTTAACAACCATTTTCCTTTGAATAAGTGTTAGAACAATAATGTTTTTGAGTTTTATATCAAAGTCTTTTCCATTCTCAAAATTCCCTTGTTAAAAAAAATGTTGTTAATAAATAATTGTTGCATCTAGTTTCATTGAAAGCAACATAAATTGGAGACGGATTTAACATTAATAATTTGATAGTTAAACGTAAGAAATTAACCCAAAAAGGATGTTTGAAGGTCAAATCTCCTCACTTTTTGTTAGTGATGCCCAAAGGGATGAGCTCAAGTAACTTGGGCCTGTAAGCAAGGAGTGAGAGGCGAAGAAGGTAATCTCCAATTGAGAAGTTTTAAGGCACCATAAGTTATTGCATGTGACTTTGCTTGAGTACAAGAAAAAGACCAAAAAGAAAAAGTTAAGACAGCAAAAGGAAAATGCAGCACGAGATTTTGTCTGGGTGATTTTGAGCTTATGTGCCTATTGCATGCCTCTCAATCATATCTCTTTTTTAGAGTATCGGAACGCTAATCTTTAGACCAATTTACACGTATTTTAAAATAAATTTCAATAATTTTAAAAATACATTTTCATATTAATTTGGTGTTTTCAAAATATTTTTTTAATATTAATTTTATGAAATTAATTTTAAATTTAATTTATAAGACTTTGCTACCAATTTCAAGACCGGCCGGCTTTTCTCATTTGTTTCATTATCTTTATCCATTTCTCTCCAATTCTGTCTCTTTCTTTCTCTCCCTCATTGAAAAGGAGAAGCGAAAACGTTGTTTTCTCCGTGAAGTGAACTGATAGGCTTTGCGGTTTAAGATGTACATCCTCCCCTCACGCATTACACAATTTTATAAGGCCAAAGTCAGCTATTGATTTGTGTTATATCGTGTGGTTGTATTGTATGTGGTGCCATCCACATGGTATTAGTCATTACTATAATTTCATATATAGGGTAGATATGATATATGACACCATCTATTACAGACACTTTCTAACATCTAATATCCCAATTGGTACACTTGAGATGCAGTAATACTTCATTATAATCATCAAATATTAAAATTAATCATGGTGCATCCAAAGCACTTTTGATAAATGTATAGTTTTTGAACACTAAATTAGTTTTTTCTACAATGCAATCAGAATCACTTTCTTATGCATAATACAACAAACAATATAAAAAGGAAACCTATACATTTACTGTTGAAGAAATTTCAAAATATTTTAAAATTTTGGGTTCGAATCACAAAAAGTTGGTTTAAAACAATTGCACAGAATGCATTTAAGAAAGCGTAACTTTGATTCGAATCATAATTATATGATTAGAACTATTTATGTAAAACCAGAATCCAGAAAGTTACGATTTCGATTCAAACCACATTTATCGGGTTCGAACCATTTACATTAGAAATCAGAGATAAAATTCTTATAAGTTTCTGAAGAGAGTAGATAACTTTGTAAAGCAAGGAAACATGTGAGTTGGAATTCAAATCAAACCAAATGACTTTTGGAAGAGTTTCCAATGGATAAAATTGAAAAGAAGTGTTTGTTCCAAACATACATCTTGAAAAGAAATGTCTGTTCCAATAGACATCTTACCCTATAAATATGGAGTTATCTCTTCTTCTTTTGTGGAGTTTTTTTGAACCCAAAAATATTTAAATAAAACAGCCCCTTTTTATATTGCGATTGCTCGAGAAATCCCTATACAAAAACTATTGTTTTGTCGCTTTCCAAAGGATGGTTCAGTGGTTGATCTTGCTAGTGCAAAGGCTTGATCAACAAGGTGCTTCATTGTATCCTACGAGCATTTCGAGTTATCCTTTTTGCATACCAGATCTAGTGGGGGCGAAATTAGTCTAAAGAAAAATGACATTTACAGCAAGCCTTGAAGCCAATGATCTAATGATCTCTTTTCTAACCCCTTATTTCTCCAACATTTATATAATAGAAAAGTGATGTATTATCTGATTTATGTGAATTGCACAATCTTTTAAATTATAACTATTAATGAGAGGTGGGGTTTTTTTGACATTGAGGTGGTCTTCTTTCCTATGCAGGTAACACATGACAAACTGCAAAACAACTAAAAATAAGAAAGGGAACCTATTTAAATAATTAATAAACTAATTTTTTTAAAAAACAAAAAGGAAAAATCTCAAATTAAAAGGGGAGAAAGAATACACCAAACATCACTTTTTGGGTCAATAATTGTACCAAACACCATAAGATAATTCCTCCTCAATATGCAAATGGCCCCCATATGCAGAGGAGGAACCCCACCAGGCCAAGAAGAGTATGCATACAGTTGTGTGAAAACAACGAGAGGGTCCCAATTCCCGAACCCCAATTCCGGCCTTAAAATTTTGGCTTCTTCTCCTCAAAGTAAGGCTTCCTTTTCTCATTTTATGGAATGATTCCTCTCCCCATCAAGACTAGTATCCACTGTACTTACTTTTCCCTATCAAAATTATAACACAAACCCCAGCAAAGGCGGCTTTCAAGTTTCATATTCTCCTCTTATTATAATAATTGAATCATTAGCTCCACTTCATCTCATCATTCAATATATCCCACATACATTTCCATATATTGTCTTCATAAAACAATTTTATTCTTCACCTTCTCTATCTTTTCGTATCACCACAAAAAATGTGCGTACCTTATTTATTCATATATCGCTTTTCTTTATCT